TCTAAAGACACATTTGGCCCATTGGATGGAGGGGGAGTTTGTTGGGCACATACTCATGTTGTCCAGCCAAAGGCCCAATGGCCTAATCCTATTCCCTTTTGGTTTCTATTCCTATTCGGAAGTGGATTCGGTGTTTATTCCTATTTTGAGTGGGTTTTGGCTTTAAGAGAAAGCACCACTCATGATCTATAAATAGGACAACCTTGAAGAATTATTCTATGCTCATTGATACAAGTCTTTGAAAGACTTAAGCACATAAGACTAGTTTTTAAGAGAGCTTTCATCAAGAGAGAAGAGAGAAGAAAAGTATTTGTTTCGCTGTAGATTTTTTCCGATCAGCCAACTTCAAATCATGTTTTCCGATTCGTTAACTGTTGGATCAGGCTAAAGTTTTGACTGAGTGTTTGTAACATCTTGATCTTTGATTTGAATGGTGAAGATCGGATTTCGCTTCCCATAGAATCCGATCTTGAGCCTCGAACAACAGCTTTATTTTTGTGGATTTTCCTCTTTCTTCAATTGATTATTTGTTGCTATTGTTGCTCCATATTTGGCACTTGCTGTGTAGTCAATTTGGAGAATTTTTGTAACCCTCTTATTGTTATAGTGGAGTTTTTTGGATCTTTGTGATCTCGTGATTTTTACCTTCGATTTGAAGGGGTTTTCACGTTAAAATTTGGTGTTCTTTACCTTCTTTATTTTTGGGTTTGTCTCTTCCTCGACATAACAGTACCTTGCATTTACGTAGGGTTCGGAGAAGAGCCGCATCCCAAGTGAGCAGTGGCGGATCCAAAATTTTTAATGATTTTAATGTAAATCCTAAATGGTCAAACATGATCATAGCGAGTGCTCATGGTCAATTTTAGGTATCTATGAATATATTACACAATTTGGACAAATCCAATGGGTGTACGGATTATGCATATTACTTAAACTCTAAAATATATATATATATATATATATATATATATATATATATATATATATATATATACACCTACTAGAAATCCGGTAAAAACCGACCAACTTTGATCGGTAATGACCAATAGCCGTCCAAAATGCGGCCATTTACGTGTGGACGGTATTTTAGAGATCGGAAAGGCATACCAACCAAAGTTGGTCGGAAATTACCGGTCAACTTTGGTCGGTCAATTAAATTCAAAAAAAAATATTGCAAAAAAAAAACCAAAGTTGGTCGATATTTTAATTATGTAATTAAAAGATTCACCATCTGGGAATCGAACAGGGGTCTGTACTGTGACAGGATACTATTCTACCACTAGACCATTGGTGCATTTTATTTTAAGTCTGCCTTTTATTTGATTTATACTCTTTAATTGTATTTTCGCACGAAAATTACCGACCAAAATTGATCGGTTTTATTAAAAATAAAATTACTGACCAAAGTTGGTCGATTTTTTAAAATGACCGGCCGAATTAACCGACCATTGATCGATTTTTTTTAATATTAATTTTTATATATTTTAATTGAAAAACCGACCAAAGTTGGTCAGTTTCTTGAAAAATAAATTTTGCGGAACTCAAAAATAGCTTCGCGCATTTTTGCGCCAAAGAAAACTAACTAAAGTTAGTCGGTTTCGTAAAAAAAATATTTTAAAAAACTGGCCAACAAACCGACCAACTTTGGTCAGTTTTTGGCCGGTTTTTTGACTTTGGTCGGTTTTTGCCGAATTTCTAGTAGTGTATGTGTGTGTGTATATATATATATATATAATGACGATAAGTGTTTGACAAAATAGGCAGGTGAGTATGAGGAATGGAAAAAAAAAAAGACAATTTGGTTTTACAAAATACAAAAAAGTAATAAATTAAACATTGCAAACTTTGTTTGTTGCGACACTTGCGTGTTTGAGTGCGTCACAACCGAAATGAGAGAACGTCTAATTTATGTGAGAAAAAATAAATAATAAATTGGATTATTATTAAATAAAGTTAGGTGACTAATTAATGAATAGAGAAAAAGGACTCAACAACAAAGTAAAATAAAATTGGTTGAAAATTATTTAGGTTGTACTAATCAGTGATAGAAAGAAATTAAGTTATTAAACATTGATATAAAAATAAAAGAAGAAATGTATCAATGATAAGAAATATAATTATATAAATTAAATATTATATATAGAAACAGTAATTTTGGGGCCCTGAAAAGAACATAAATACAGGAAACTGAGGCTTTCAAAATAAAATTAAGTAACAAAAGTCAATAGAAGTGATCGATGCAGGTGGGTACTTTCATGTTCTATGAATGAGAATGGATAACAGAAGGAGCTTAGGACCAGTATTAATTAAGGAACACAAAAATGGCATTTTCTTATAGGGATCACCAATTAAATTTTGAATAAGCACGTGAATAAAATTGTATTCGAAATTTTAAGTCAATATACTCAATAAATGTGGGTACCAATTACATTTATTAATTAATGTTTTGCCACATAGATGCAGATTTCATAGAAATGTATATTCATTTTTTCCACTTTATATAATTGAACAGACCAAATTAGAATTGAGAAAGATGGCCTATTACTTTGTATTCGACATAATAACAATGTGAACTATATGTCTATATAAACAAGTCACAAACTAAAACATGACATAAAAATCATAAATGTAAGTACATTACGGCAATTCAAGTCAGACTTTTTGTGAAGAAACTTTATCTTTCATTTTTTTAACAAAGGGCAGCGCAGTGCACGATGTATCTTGCATTTATACATGTTCGGAAAAGGACTGCACTCCAAATTGGTGAACTGCAGGCAACCTACCATATTTGGCAAAGGCCGGGTGAGATCAAACTTATATAACTAGTAAAAATAGCACGATATAGCAAGTTTTCAGACTGGTCATTCAAAATAGTCCGCGTTTACCAAGTCAATGAAAAATAACCACTATTTTGCTGCAACAGAGACCAGTCCAACATAATATACTGGAGTTCGATGCATCTATGTATGAACTTCAGCATATTATGCTGGACCGGTATACTTTGCTGGCTCCAGTATAATATACTGGAGACTGGAGCACCGGTGCTCCAAACTCCAATATATTATGTTGGACCGGTATATTATACTGGAACTCTAGTATATTATGCTGGAGTATTTTTCCGGATTTTGAACAATGTTTTCGTTCAGATTTATCTTTATATGAAAAGTGGCTAAATTTCGATTACTTTTGAAACTGGACTATTTTTGAATGACCACTTGTAAATCTGGCTATTTTTTAATTTCTCCTATACGTGGCAGAATATACATTTTGACCTTGTCCAGAAAATACCTTTTTACCTTATCCACAACATAGAGAAAAGGGATGAAAGGAACTCTACTATTTGGTTAGGGCAGATTAATTTTGACAGTGATGTGGAGATACTAAAGGAGATGAGCTTGTCAACATGTACAAGAAGACGCATCACAAGGATCTATTGTACGTACTCTTACTTTGTATTTTTGCAAAAAGTTGTTTCCACAACTCGAGTCCGTGACCTCCTAGTCACATGACCACAATTTTACTAACTACGCCAAGGCTCCCCTTCACAAGAAAACATTACATGTTCTTAATTTATTCAACAAACATTTATGAAATTATCTACGCGCTCTAATCAAACTCCAGGTTTTAATTAATATCTGCCTTGACTGATCCCTTAATAATGCAACTATTGCTACAAGCCTACAACGTGAAAATTGAGTAGATAACCTTAATTAAAGAGGTTGTGGCAGACACGAAAACCATACGAAAGAAAAGATAAAGAGCAATCACGGTAAGGAGACTGTGATAGCCAAGGGCGAATACAGCTTACGGCAAACGGTGTTACATCATACTGTTTCGTCGAAATTCTAATTAAATATGCATGTACATATAGTATACAAAATAAAATAATGGGTATAAATATAAAAAATGACACCGCTTGTTATTATAGTAATTTATTTATTCGTTCATTTTTTTAAATATTGATACCGCTTATTAAAAATTCTGCGTACGCCACTGGTGATAGCTAGCCGTATGTCGGGCTAACTAGTGCGCAACTTGATTATTTTACATGGCACACGTTACTTTTTATATGTATAGATATCACCTAACGTTTGATGTCTTTATTTGAATTTGGACTTTAATCTTCCGTGTTATTCACTAACTTTACTGATCGTTAAGACACACCGTTCAAATCAACTATAAGTCTCTCTTTTTAACGAACTACAGCCGTCTCCTTTAGAATGTGTCACAACAAAAAATATGCTTTATTTTCATTTGGAAGGCAATGTGTGGCTGAGCCTTTACGAGTTCATTTATATTTGGAATATGGATTACTTGCAAGGTAGCTAATGGGCAATGGCCTGCTGTTATGGAACAGGATTCTTATATAGAAGTCAATAGTAGGCACTAAAAAAAATAATTTTCTAAATAATATAAGATAATTCAAATTAATGTTATCTTTATCAGTTACGATTTAACATTTTCTTATGATTAGGTATTGAAGAAAAATACATCTTAACTTCCCCACCATATTTCATTTCGTCCCTTTGCCATCAAAATAAGTCGGTCGATTGGCTCTACCGACCGCCACAAATCAATTGGTTTTCGGTTGGCTTTTGTCAATTACCAACCACATTGGTCGGTTTTGGCAGTCGTCTCATCAATTTTTGACTTGCTTACACAATTTGGTATCATCCTCTCTTTTTTTCCTTATATAATAGTGGTGTCCAATCAGCTTACTTGCACACACTTCAACTCATATATGGAAACACACTTCAACTCATATATGGAAGGTACCCATTGCCTCTCACCAAAATAGGCATACGGTAACTCTACCCATTAAGTACCAGGCACATACGAAAAATCACCTATCATATTTTCTGTTTTTGCTAGAATTTGAATCCTGCTTCCCATAGTTTTTACCCACTTTATTAACAGATAGGTCACATTCTTGAGTGTACATAAAGCAGTAAACTGTTTCCCTTAACTAAAAGCATATTTCAAAAAAAAAGGGCAAGAGGTAAAAGAGAACGCGCCTAACATGGCGCAGCATAGTTTTCCATTAAATTCAAGAGCAAATTGCATCTAGTTAGTTGAATTACTTCACCTAATGAGCAAATACAACACAACTATGGTTGCAGAAATTCTCTCAAAGATGCATGCATAGAATACAAGATTTTATGGAATTCAACCCTTGTGACAACCTTTTACAAAGACCACAAAGGAACAAAGGTTGCAAGCAGAATATTACTTATAAGCATTCAGTGCCATAACCTTGCATTGTTCATTCATGGCCAAGAGTTGTGCCTCTTTCTTGTCAAGAAGAGCTGTCAACCTCACATTCTCTTCCATAAGTTTTTGGACCTCGACCTCTTTCTGCATCTTCTCGCTCTCCAATTGGGTTGTTTTCGCAGTTAACCTGGTTCACATAAAACAAACTGAACTCATAAAAATTCCCGGATATGGGACCTTAGCATTTGTTAATTACAACGATATACTTTTCGTGCAAACAGGGATATATAAGACAAACTATTACAATTATAATTCTTGCGGAGACCACTACTCTTAATGCTCCGGAGAAGAAAAACCAAGTATTAGCCACTAGATGTGCTTAGACTTCTATTCTCATGCGTCAAATTAGCGTGAGATATAATTAATTAGTACTATACTATTATGACCATTAAGAAGGCGGAAATCAACCAAAACGAACGAAGCCAGTTGTAAGAGCAGGTAGTCCAATTGCAGCAGAAAGTAAGGGGCACGAAGTTCGCCCAAAAACAGCAAGAAACAAAGACATGCTCTGCTCAGGATCTTCCCAATGGTGTTTCAGAACACAGTGTTGGGCTAAGCAAGCCCACAGAAACTCTTATCATGGTGTTATATTGTCCGCTTTGGATCACGTCCATACAATTATTTTCCGAAAGGCCTCACACCATTAAAGAGTATTCCTACACCTTTTTCGTAGCTTATTTTCTTATCAACTTTCGTGGGACCGTTGGCGCACCCAGCAATCTCCTACTCCAACTAAGTGCCTCATGGCACTTCACCGAGATATATGGACAATAATTTATATAGTCTCAAAAAAACATGATATATGCCTAACTCTAACCGGCTATGTTCAAAACCTAACCACGTATATACGATCATCACCTCACATATATGAAGTACCTAATCATGTGGCAAACAACAAGCAAATCGCTTATAAGGAAAATTCCCTCTTACAAGGATAGACAAGAGACTTACCTCCATTGGGTAATAACTTCAACCTTCCAAAACAGACTTTCCTCTCGAATCGACCTCCAATAGGCCTCACACCATTAAAGAGTATTCCCACACCCTTTTGTAGCTTATTTTCTTATCAACATTCGTGGGACCATTGGCACACCCAGCAATCTCCCACTCGAACTAAGTACCTCATGGCACATCACCGAGATATATGGGATTATCTGGAGAATGCAACCCACATTATCTAAGTACTTATGGACACCAAAATCCACAAGCTTCTTGTGTGTGCGTCTCCAACGATGGGCAAATGCAGTAATTTGGATGTAGACAAGCAAAGGCCATAGGCCGGCCGTTCCACAACATCACTTCGACATTTCTATACTTGTATCACTAAGTTGTCGACACTGATATCAGATGTAAGGCTAAGCTAACCTAAAAACACTCGTAACAGTTGTGATCTTGTCTGCTTTAGGCTAAACCCATACAATTTTCCCAAAAGGCCTCACACCATTAAGAATATTTTACGCCTCATATGTAGCTTATTTTTCTTTTCAACCTCCAACATAGGACTTTGTTCGCACATCAACACAAAGCAGCGGAATTTTGTCAAATAGCTTATAGAAATCCTGATTTTCATGCCACATTCTTTCCCTTTGTACTGCTCTTCCTAATTTTCATGACACACTCTTTTATTCTATACTGCTTGGTAACTTCAACATAGAGGAACGTAAAACAGGAATGGCACACAGGCAGAATATATTAGTCGGTTACAAGCCTATAGAACTTCAACATTCGAGTTTACACCAGGCTAGATAATTCGACAACACATCCCCCGTAAATTGCAGGGCCAACATGAATTTTAGCCCAGTCAGAAAAGTATATCCAGATAAAAAATGGATAAAACACCACAGCAGAGAATAAGTAATCCCCCCCCCCCCCCCCCTGCGGCAGGGAAAATAAATCCCATTGTGAGAAGCAAAAAGGAACTTTTCAAGAACTTTAGGTCCTCTAGGAAAGAACATTATCTAACATAAACCAGCATTAACATCATTTGGAAACTTTAAGAGTCAGGATGGGTGAAGACAAATTAGAGAGACCAAGTGGAGATGGAATGACGTGACGATTGTATAGTTTACCCGCACACAGTGTATATGAAGGATAAAGTTCGATAGAGAGAGAGAAAAAGAACTGGGAAAGGAACGGAAGGCGATAGAGACTCTATACAAGCAAATCACTTACTGCATTAAGTTAAGATAAAAGTAATACAGTAATTATATGATCATTACCACTTAAATCTACAAAAAGCGAATAATTATTAAATTATACATGAATAAAACTATAATTTCAAATACACCGAAGAGTAAGCGGAAAAGACAAGATATACTACACTTTGTAGTTAATCTTTTTGGATAACCGGGAAATCCCTAAGAACTAATGGCGTAAGGTTCGAAACTCGGGGGATAATGAGCCCACCCCTCTATCCTTCCCCACTTGAATACCAGGCCTTTGTTTGCGGCAAAATTTGAACCTGTGACTTGCGCCTAGTCCACAAACCACGCGTTGTGCTCATACTACTAGACCATAGCCCTGGAGCCACTACACTTTACTATTAATAGATCAACTTAGTTCCAAATTTCAGTTAAAAATCACTTAGAAGGATAATCTGAATTTTTGTAGAGGTCTAAAATATATAACATAAACTTAATATGAACTAAAATTCAGTAATTTGAATTGTTTCACAATGCAAGTTCCAATTTTTTGTCTTAGTGACCAGTTCAGTTTTTATTATAAACTGTTAGTCCAGCATCTTAATTTGTAATATTGGTAGAAGGTGATTATCACTACCATCACTAGTTGGATCAGAGAAAAGCTTTTGCAAACCTGCAGTCAAACCGCCTCGTTCTATGTTCTGTGTCTAGGACATGCCATAGTGCTAGCTTAAATTCAACTTTGCACTAGAAAAAAAAAAGGATGATTCTTCATTCTTAGTACAAATAGTATATTTCATTTTATCTTTCAGATTTTATTGTTTCTGTACATATCAGTAAAGCCGAGAACAAACAACCTAGTGCCCTGATACATGGTATGAATCATATGACCAACATTCAAAGACCTAAAGAATTATTAATTTATTATAACCAATTCCACCAAAGGACACTCTGGTGCTGTGGGAGAAACATGGCTGGAAAAGATGCTTAAGGGTTCTTGATCCGTTGACATAAATTCAATGTCTAAGTGAATTGGTAAGCAACTTGTTTTTTATGTTAGTACACTAACAGTAACTTCTGATATCACTCGCATACTGACCAGAAGCACTCAAAGAACATAATTAAACAGATGTACCATCATTTTATGATAACGGAAATTATGTTCGAGTGAAAGAGTTATACTGACTGTTCAAAAAGCCTTTCAATTGTCTGGAATTGCTTTTCTGATGACAGAAGAGTTTCTCTGACACTAACGAGACTACTGACATAGGATTTCAGAGACTCAAAATCTCTTTTAACACGAGAAAGCTCCTGCTCATTTTCTGTAGCTCGCTGCCTCTGTCTAGAAGTTTCTTCGACCAAATCTTCAACTCTCTGGCGCATCTCATTCAAGATACAATTTGTACCCAAAGCAAACCTTTCCATCTCTTCTAACTTACCTGACATGTTTTCAATCTGAAGCGCCTTTCTTTGAATCTCTTCATGACCTATTGTTACCTTCTCCTTCTCTAAAGCAGTTTCAGATTCAGCCATTATAGCCCTCTTGACAAGATTTTCCATAACATCTGTAACCATTTGTACACTGGTGAGTAATTCGCTCGTATAAGATCCATCTTGTTCATCAAAGGAATCTTGTTTACTCGCAAGTTTAATCCATGTCTCATCATCAGCATCACTAAACGACGAGAGATCTAAGTCCCTTGACCAACTAGACAACGGTACACCATTTTTATCAATAATTCCTACTCCATCTAGTTCTTTTATACCGCAGGACATATGGGCCAAATCTGGAACAGCCATGACTCTAGCTTTAGCTTTCAAATACGTCATTAATGTTGCAGCAGTTCTGACTCTACGCCAAAGTACATCTAACTCCTTTTTTGTATCTTCTTCTGAACCCTGAATACAAGCTTTTACATCTAATAGTTTTGCTTGCAAAGCATCCACTTGAGACTGGTTTTTCTCCATCTCTTGCTTCCAACTAACTTGTGTTTGGCTCAGTTGGTACTTTAAATCTGAAAGATCAATATCTTCCTCAGCCGACATCACCTGTTATAAATTCAAATTAGGAACTTAGATCGTTAAGATCTAACAACACTAGGAAGTAGCAACACGTACAGCACACATGGAGAACGAAATCTCACTAAGATCATCTCAAAAGTCTAAGGTGTTTTTTGGCTAAGTCAAAAAGAAAATGAATCAAATGCAAATAATGAATAAGACAGTAAACTGTGACTAACAAAATACTATCTTTCTCATCCACTCGAGGCCGTTCTTTCTTGTTCCTTCTAACCAAACAACCCCCAAGTTTAATCACTACGACACAGTTCTTGATACACAGATAACAACAACAACAAACCCTGTAGTTTCCCACAAGTGGGGTCTGGGGAGGGTAAGATGTACGCAACCTTACCCCTACCCCTGGAAGGGCAAAAAGGTTATTTCCGATAGACCCTCGGCTAGAGAACGACTGAAAAAGAACAGGTAATTGCAACAAGTAGAAATAACAGCAAAATGAAATAAGATCTAATCCAAGAATGCAGTCAAACTCTAGGTAGTAATAGTCATCTATGAATAAAAGATATCATATTAACACTAATGCTAGCGAACTGAGTAAGACAAAGAGAAATGCTCGACTACCTACGAACCTTCTACCCTAATCTTTAACTTCTACACCCTCCTATCTAGGGCCATATCCTCAGTCAGCTCCAGCTGCGCCATGTCCCGCCTAATAACCTCTCCCCAAGACTTCTTAGGCCTACCTCTACCCCTCATGCTGCCCATCGATGCTAACCGCTCGCACCTTCTAACTGGGGTTTCTATACTTCTCCTCTTAACATGCCCGACCATATAAACCTCGCCTCCCGCATCTTATCCTCCACAGGGGCCACTCCCACCCTTTCCCGAATAACTTCATTCTTAATCTTATCCAACCGGTATGCCCACACATCCACCTCAACATCCTCATCTCAGAGTACTTTTAGCTTCTGGGTATGAGAGTTCTTGACCGGCCAACACTCTGCTCCATACAACAAAGTCGGTCTAACTACAACCTTGTAGAACTTACCTTTAAGTCTCAGCGGCACATTCTTATCACACAAGACACCGGAAGCGAGCCTCCACTTCATCCATCCCGCTTCGATACGAGGCGTGACATCTTCATCAATCTCCCCATTACCTTGTATTATAGATCCCAGATACTTAAAACTACCTCTCTTGGGGACGACTTGCGTACCAAGCCTCACCTCCATATCCCCTTCCTGGATACCGTTGCTGAACTTGCACTACATGTATTCCGTCTGGGTCCTGCTCAACTTGAAACTCTTAGACTCTAGGGTGTGCCTCCAAACCTCCCGCCTCTTGTTAACACCACCCCATACATGGATAATGCATCATAAATACATGAACAAATTCTTTGGCAGTGCCGTGCATTTACAATTTTGCCACAAAAAATACAAAACGCATTCTAAAACAGACAATGAATAATGTTTTTTGTAAGATAAGAATGAAGATTTACATACTCCCCTAGCAAAAACAAAATACTTCTATCAGAAACTACACTAAGAAGATAGTGCCCCTTATGCTCAACTTCTATCACCGTTTAATTCACATCAAATTTACAGAATTCATATTTTGAATCTATAAGATACATTTGTATATATAAGTTCAAATAAAGAAAAACAACAACAACAAACCCAATGTAATCTTACAAGTGGGGTCTGGAGAGGGTAATATATACGCATACCGTACCTCTACCTTATGGAGGTAGAGAGATTGTTTTCGGTAGACCCCGGACTCAGAGAACAATGAAAATAAAGCCACAAACAATTGCAACAACAAGGTAACAGGGTAACGGAAGAGAATGACACAACATGTACTAATAACGAACCAAGAATAAGAAAATAAGATAATTTCTTCCATCCCATCTATCTAAGCTTTATTACGCAGTATATGTGTGGAATAGTCGAGGTGCGTCCAACCACTCAGACACTACCAAAAACAATAAATAAATATATTGAAGTTCAAGATAAACTCCTAGTAAGAGGCAGACTGCCAATTCCATCAACTGCAAACCCAAGATAAGAAACTAAACATTGTCCTCCTTTTTACAGATAAATCAAAAGAATTCACTTATAAAGTACAAATTGTTACTTTTGGCAGTGAGTTCAAAAAAATGCTAAAGACAGCATTTTTAGTCCAACCCAACTTTCAATTTGGCTTCTTTAACAAATCCAATATAACCCCAAGACAGAATCTTTATAATTTGTCCCTCCCTAAAAATATCTAAAGCCACCAAGAAAATAAAAATCAGAATTTTACCCAATAAAGCAAACACAATTACCATAAAAATAAATCCTACTAATACCCAATAATTTATCATTTAAGGAACCAAAATAAACACAAAATCAAAAAATTAGCAAGGATGAAAAAAATTAGCAGGTACAATCTGAGCAAAAAAGAAAACATACATTTTGTTAGGAAAATTTTCAAAGGCATAGAAAAAGAGGCACCTTGTAAATTTAATGGGAAAAAAAAACAATTGAGAGCTTTAGATTTTTGGCAGGTGATGATGATGATGATACTGCTCGAACACGCGTTGTGTGGAGGATGGGTATTGAAGGAATTTGGTAAAGACAGCTTCAAGTTCTTGATTGTCTGTCTTTTTCAGTTTAACTTTATGGGAATTGTATTTGTTTCCCCTAAACCTTCTTAAATTACAGATTGGGTATCACTTCCTTTTGAGCCTTTGCATAAAATAAACTTATTTTAAAAAATATTTTTCAAAATGTACTTTTAGTGAAAAGCAATTTGTATTTTGTTATTTCATTTAAAAAATACTTTTAAGTAGTAATTAATATTTAATCAAATTTTAAAAAGTATTTTTTACTGTATTTTTGTCTATTGAATAAAGTATTTTGAGGAGAAGTTACTTTTTTTACTTCTTAAAAATTACTTCTGCTTCTAAAAGTATTTTTTTTCTTTCTAAAAGCTTGGCCAAACATCTAAACTTTTAAGCGAAAAAGAAGCTTGGACAAATAAACTATTATTCTCACCAAAAATCCAATTTTTGAATTAAATAATTTCGAGAGTCAAAAAAAATTTCAATATGTCTAAAAAATACTTTTTTATCTTAAAACACTGGTTTATGATAGTTTTATTTATATTGTATTCATTGAATTATCTTTTTTAATTGGATTTTCATATAATAGTTGATGTTAGAATTGAAAAGTTAAAACTAAATTTAAACACGCACTTTATTTATCAAAAAAAAAAAAAAAAAAAAAAAAAAGATCTGTTGGTGAAAGTAATATTTCATATGATACACTGTCAAATTTTACATTTCAATATTAAACTTCACTCTTCACAATATCCATGACCCTATAAGTATTTGGATGTGTTGCATTTCAGTATTCTGAAAATAAAACAACCATCAAAGATTATGTTGGGTTGAATAAGATTTTTCACTTTTAATTTTGGTCAAAAGTGCTTTTGGCCACAAAAAAAAATACTTTTGGCCCAAATAAAAATTTGATCAAACAAACACAGTAACAACAACAACAACGATCCAGTATAATTCCACAAGTGGGGTCTGGGGAGGGTAATATGTACGCAGACCTTACCTCTACCCCGAAGGGTAGAGAGACTGTTTCCAGGAGACTCTCAGCTTAAAAAAGCAACAGGAGCCGATATATTAGTACCATAAAAATGCATAATAAAATAACAGCAATATAAGAGATATTTTAGGTTCCAAACTTTGAGAAGGAAAAAGATTATGCTACGGCGGGATATTTAAAAAAAATATAGAAGGGGAGGAAACGGAATATAAAAGGACGCGAGTCACGTGACCCCGGCATTCCCTAAAACAAAATAGGGCATCCATATCCCCTAGTAGGCTAATACCAAGCGGGAAGTACAAAAGGTGTTGCGCAATAACAACAGCACAATCTCATAGAGAAATGGGACGAGAAGGAGATTGGGCGTGTAGTGGTTGCGGCAATAGGAATTATGCATTCAGATGTTTCTGCAACAGATGTAAACAGCCTCGTCTCCTTGTTGACAACAACACTCCTTCTGATTCCAAGTGGCTTCCGCGTATCGGCGATTGGATCTGCACTGGTAATTTCCATTTCGAATTATTATTGTTTTTGTGTTATGTTTTGGTCTGTTCTTTCGTTCATACTTTTAATGGAAAAAATTGAATTTTTCCTATGTGTTTAACTGTGCTAAGTCGCCAATTATATTGAACTTATTGGTAGCTAGTTTGCCTTAGCTGTTTGAAAGTAGTTTGTAAGCATCAAAGTGCTAAAACAAGACATTTTAAGTGGTGAAACTGATTTAATATGTTCAGTGTGCCATAATCAGGGGCGAAGCTAGAAGCCCGGCTATTGGTTCGGTCGAACCAAGTAGCTTTTGCCAATAGTTTTTGCTCAATCAGTGTATTTGTGTTAAGAAATTTATTATATATGTACGAATATTAAATTATAGGACCCAATTACTAGCACTTTAAGTCGTCCTTCTAAAATTCCAAGACACATAAGTTGGCTCCGCCTCTGGCCATAATACGCCAGTACTTCTTTCGAAACTAATACCCAAGTAAATATGATTGAAGTTTTGTACATGTTACTTACAAAGTGTCAACTATCTTATACAACGATCAAAAATTATTGTCACCTATCTTATACATACATCTCTTTATAAGTATTTTGACCGCATGTATGGAATTCTGCATATCCTCTGGCATCGACTTCTTTGAAATTAGTTCTGGATTATTCAGTGGAGATCAATGATCTTTTCTGGAAAACAAAGTATTTATACAATGTTTTTTAATCTGACACTTTAAAAGAAATTTATCTTCAAATTGGTTGCTGGTATAAAAAATTGATTTACGCTATCTTTTCATTTGAAAACAGCTTTGTTGAAACTGGTTTCTAGTTTAAGAATAAACAACTGTATCTCTATTTGCCTCGCATGTAAAATTGCTTTTTCCTTTAAGTAGCATTTTTTGGTGGATAAGCCCTCTAAGTAGCATTCTTGAACTGATTAAAATATGATTCTCTTTATACTGCTGCCAAACTGACAGTTTATTCTTTGCATCAAGTTGGATTTTCCCCTTGTAGCTCTAGCTGCTTGCCAATTTGTCTGGTGCAACTTATTGCATTATTGGTTCGCTGGCTTTCGTGCTCTCTGCACTTCTTGTCCTTTTTTTGTTTAATAGCTTCCTTAGTTTCTTGACAGGAATTAATTACCGGATCCAGACAAGCCAAACATTTATATTGGCTATAAAGTGAACTATGATTAGAATTCCTCATATTCTATGGGAGATTGATTTTCTATGTTAAACTGTATTAGAAACCTGATTTTAGTAGGTTGAGTTTTTTATGATTTCTTCTGTCTGTCTTCATCTTGGATGGCGGGTTGGCGTGCGTATTCTCGGCTTGTTTCCTCTTCCTGGGTGCGTTGTGTATTGCGTGTGTGTGGAATGCTCCATTAGGTTGCACTAACAACAATTATGCTTCGAGAGAAAAGTGCAAAAAATGTGGACAACCAAAGGAGGTAGCAGCAATGCCAGCTATTGCAATCCCTGGAGCATCTCTCCCAACTCATCCAAATTATTTTGCCAGGGCACAAGGAATAGAGCAAAAGTTGAACATTGGGTTATTAGGAAATGGAGCTCTCCAGCAGCAACTTCCCTTGAGCTCTAACTGGTCTTTAGGGGAGGCTGGTAATTACGAAAGCCAACATGCTGATCGGTATAGACTGCTGCAAGCTTCTACTTGGACTTCCGTTGGTAACAGCACTCCTGGAGTTCCGTACCGAAGCCAAGCGCACCAACTGCTTCCAGTTCCAAATGGATGGCGTAACGGCGACTGGCTCTGCAGTTGTGGCTTTCACAACTACTCTTCTCGAGCTCAGGTACTACCATACAGAACGTTAAATACTTTCGGAACATTAAATACTTTCAATATATGAAAAGACATTTTTGAGTGGCGGTTTCATATGGATGTACATCTGCTCTTGCAGTGCAAAAAATGCAATGCTTCTGCGGCTCCAGCTTCATCATCTTCTCTTGTCAGCACCCCTATGACAGGTTTGCGTAGCATAAATTTTTTTTTGATCCTCCAGTAATCTATATATATATATATAAGAACAATAAGAAAGCGAGTTGGCACCTCAGTATTGTCAAAGGCTCATTTGAGGCGCGTTTCAACCCTGAAAGCTCAAAAAAGCTCAAGGTATGCGTTTCGCCTCACTTAGGTTGCGCTTAAGTGTAGGCAAGGCACTGACGTGTGCGCCTCATTGCCTATAAGTTCTATTTTTTGAATAAAGTGGTACAAAACAATAAATGTGATTGGCAAAAAGATATATTAATTGTTGAGGAAATCATTATGAATGAAATTGTCACTACTTTCTTGCATTACATATATATATATATATATATATATATATATATATTTTTTTTTTTTCTTCGTTGCGCCTTTTTTTTAACTAAAGCCTACACTTTAATTGTGCTTTGCGCTTAAAACTCCGATAGACTTGACCGCTTTTTAACGCTTTTCGCCTTTGACAACACTGTGGCACCTCTCTTAAGCCAAGAAACATGTTTATCTTTTTTCTCCTTTTTTGGGATTTTTCATTGTTCTTTCAATTTATTTTATATTAAAAGTTTATTTTCATAACTCACACTTCTTTATCTTCGTATCCTATTCATTTTATAATCTCATAACCCTAAATATTTAATGTGTAAGTTTATGATAATTTATCTCCTTTTTTTTCATTTCCCCCTTTATTTCTCTCATTTAGTCTATTTAACACATTGGAGTAATAAAGAGCCCATGTAGCTTTACCATTTCCATTAATTGAGTATAGATCTCAAGGCTTATACCTTATTTTAAATTTTAAAAAAAAGCACCACGATGCTTCGGTCACTGTCCTTGCAGAACTCTTTTTTAGTATTTCGACTTTTTAGCTGGCTAATTTTCCCCGGTTGCTTTGAGATCCTACCAAATCCTTGGAACCTATATGTTCAAAACATGTATTGAGCAAGGGCTCCAATTTAATTTACTTCTTACTTTTGAAGGAAAAGTCTGATGTGGACATTTTGACATGTTGAGGTTTCTAGGCTGAACTTTTTTAAAAGAGAAAAATTATTGTGTTGTATCATAATGGGATGAAAGATATTCGTTGTGAAAAGTATCTTATCTTCTGTTGAAATCCATTCTGAATTGATCATTACTTGATCGTCATCCAATCCTCTAATTGTTTCACATATTTAATGATGCCTTATCTTTTTCAATTGTTACTTTTAATCATCAGAAGAAATGTGTATATGTTTTGATGTCAAAGGTTCTCTCTCGTACCCTAGAATTTAGGCAATTAGAACGTCTGGTCTTTAGGTACTACCCTATACCACTAAAAGGGCTTGTTTGGTTTGGTGGTTGGATGGATTAATCAGGGTATAAAATCCAGCATAGATTTATACATTGTTTGGTTGGTCTCTTTAGAAAAACTAATACAACAACAACATACCCAATATAGAGCCCGTTTGGATTGGCTTAAAAAAAGTGGCTTTTAAGTTAAGTGCTTAAAAGCACATTATAAGTGTTGGAGCTTGTTTTGTAAATAAGCAGTTACGTGTTTGGATAAAAGTGCTGAAACTGAAAAAAACTGATAAAGTGTTTGGTAAAGAAGTGTTGGTAGACACTTTTTCTTGTTAAAATGACTGAAATATCCTTAAAGTTGTTAACATTATAAAGAAGATAACATTATAAAGAAGATGATTACTATAATATTATATTTTCGTTCATAGCTTCTAATTCATCAGCCCCTTTCCAAGAATCCATTAGAAATTTCAAGTTGAAATCTTCAAAATTAATCCTTTTGTTTACTCTAAACAGAAAGCAATTGGCCAGAGAATGGAGATAGTTAATTATTCTCATCATTTGTCATAAACCCTCTACGCGTTTTCTTTGTTAATCAAATCCATTCTTGAGTTGTTGCTGCTGCTGCTATTCTTGAGTTGAAAAATGAAAACCCCAAAAAAAGATAAAAGAAAAAGTTGGCAAATTAGTCACAAAAGTCGTAGTTACGACTATGAAATTTACAGAAAGGAGCAGTATATATATATTTGGTCTACTATTAGTAAACCAAATGTATAAGTGTTTTATTGAAAAATATGAGGGGTGCATAAACAAAGAAATGAAAGGAAAAGAAAAAGAGGGGAAAATAATGAATGAAGTGTAAAGAAAGAAATGAAAGGAAAAAAGAGAAAAGTTATGGAAGAAGACGAAGAAGAAAGCAGAGTACGTTGTAACAAGAATGGAGAAGAAGGCTACTGCGACAAGATGGAGAAAGGAAAAAGATAGTATGTTGTAAGGTTTTCTACTGAGGGGTAATTTCGGGATTAAGAAAAATTATAAGGGATAAAAATGTAATATACTTGGTCAAAGCACTATGGCTTTTAAGCCAATTTCGAAAAAAGTTAGGTTTTCCAACTTAGAGCCTATTTGGATGGGTCCTTTTAACTTGTGGAAGTGTTTGGCAACCAAAAAAAGGGCTTAAAAAAAGTTAAAATCTGCTTAAAAAAGCCAAAACCAATAAGTTGGAAAATTTAACTTTTTCGAAATTGGCTTAAAAGCCATATTGCTTTGACAAAAAATATTACATTCTTATCTCTTATAATTTTTCTTAATCCCGAAATTACCCCTCAATAAAACATACTATCGCCTTCTCGTCCCCGACCAGCAACCCCTATGTTCCATTCACCTCCACAATTCCAAGCGATGGGTGAAACTCCAGTCCCAAAGTCAGTTTTAAAGAAGCAGAAGAGGAGTGAGGAATGGGCTCTTGCAAAGAAGCAAGAACTTGAATGCTGAGAACCGAAAAATAATCTACAACAGGGCAAAACAGTAGTCAAAGGCTAAGTTGCACGGACTTGCCTATTTTGGTGTCGTACCCGTCTCGATACGGGAGCGGGACGGGACCGGGAACGGGATACATCCCGGATTCAGTCAACCGACGTCGGACACTTTGACCGGAGTCCATCGACAGAACTTGGTGGAATGGCGTTGAATGACTTTCGTTTTCACTTATGAAGGAAGAACGAAGGGGTAAAGGCAGCGTGAATGGCGGTTTGTAAGAGCTTGAAAGAAATTGGGTAATTTTGAGCATCTGTACAAGCTTGAAAGAAGTCGGGGAAGCTTGAAAGAAGTTGGGGTCCTTGGGGAAGATGATCTGCTGTGCCTTTAGGTGTAAAGAAAATGTAATAAAATAATACAGTATAATAATAAATACACTAGTGTTTTGCACATTCCAAGGCTAGTGATGTCTGCCACCAAACTTTGTTTAATAATATTTGTTAAATCTCTTTTAAAAATATGTGGATATTGCAAGACTTGTTGAGGAGAACAGCTGTCATAAACTACTGTCATGTTCTTGATTCTAATGCCTAAAGAACTCTTAAATGTAAAAAATACTATATAATAATACTTTTGCACATTCCAAGGTCACTCATATTTGCCACCAAACCTTGTTTAGTATTCAAATATTATTATTGATTTAACAGTAGCAGTTTAATAGTAGTCGTTCCGTTCTTTTAAAGTAATTTCTATATTGCAATTGAAAAATAACGGTACTTTATCATGATGACCAAAATAGTTGTTAACATCAATGAGTAATTTTTTAGAACAATTTTTTTTTACTTTACATAGTATTTGCAACAAGTATATTAATTTTATAGTAATTATGTGGTAAATAAAAATTTAAAACTACTAAACATATATCTATTTTTTTATTTTGAATTTTTTTAGCCGAATCCTCGCACCCGTATCCATATTTGGATTCGCACCCCCGAATCTTAAAATTTATATTTTGCTGAATTCGATACTCGGATCCGTCCCCGTATCGGATACCTGCACTCGAGTCCGAGCAACTTAGGTCAAAGGAGTATGAGGAGCAGGAGAAGGAGTTAATTTGTTTTTAAACGTGAGGCTAGGTTGAAGGGCGGTTTCTATGTGGATTTTGGGATAGCTTCCTCCGCTGGCGCCGGCCACCTCTATTGCTATTTGATCCTTGCCAACTTTAAGGATATTTCAGTCATTTTAACAAGAAAAGTGCTTATCAGCACTTGTTTACCAAACACTTTATCAGCTTTTTTTCAGTTTCAGCACTTTTATCCAAACACGTAATTGCTTATTTATAAAACAAGTTCCAGCACTTATAAAGTGTTTTTAAGCACTTAACTTAAAAGTCACTTTTTTTAAACCAATCCAAATGGGCTCTTATTGGTTTTGGCTTCTTTTAAGCAGATTTTAACTTTTTTTAAGCCTTTTTTTTGGTTGTCAAACACTTTCACAAGTTAAAAAGTACTTAAAAGCTGGTTTGACCAGCTTTTAAGCCCATCCAAACAGGCTCATAATCCCACATATTGGGCTCTGGGGACATTAGCCCTAACTTGTGAAGGTATAGATGTTGTTTCCAATAGACCCTCGGCTGAGGAAAGCATAAGCACCACATAAATAAAAAAGAAAACAAGATGGGACAACACCGAGAAGCCATGTAAAAACAGTATAAATAACAACAAGATAGTAAAATAATTGAAATGCAAGAAGCAACAGGTAGTCATAGAAACCTAATACTTACAGAATGCGAAAGTACATACTGATACTACTGGTATGAATAATTTGACTACCTAACCTACTAACATAATCCTCGACCTCTACACCTTCCTATCAAGGGTCATGTCCTCGGTCAGTTGTAGCTATGTCATGTCTTACCTAATCACCTCTCCCCAATTCTTCTTCGGCCTACTTCTACCTCTTCTAAGGCCCTCCACTGTCAACCCCCCACACCTCCTAACTGGGGTGTGTGTGCTTCTCCTACTCACATGTTCAAACCATCTAACCCTTGATTCCCGCATCTTGTCCTCAATAGGGGTCACACCCACCTTGTCCTGAATAACTTCACTCCTAATTCTATCTAACTTAGTGTGCCGCACATCCATTTCAACATCCCCATCTCTGCTACCTTCATCTTTTGGACATGCTCAGCCGCATATAACATAGTCGGTCTGACCACCGCTTTGTAGTACCTTTAAGTTTTGGTAGCACCTTCTTGTCACACAAAACACCAGAAGCAAGTCTCGATTTCATCCATCCTGTCCCAATACGATGTGTGACATCTTCGTTAATCTCGTCATACCCCTTTATAATAGACCCAAGGTACTTAAAACTCCAGTCTTAGGGATGACTTGTGAATCCAGCCTCACCTTCCCCCTGAGTCGCACCACTAAACTTATACTCCAAGTATTCTGTCTTGGTCCTGCTCAACTTGAAACCTTTAGACTCCAGGGTTTGTCTCCACACCTCTAACTTTGCGTTAACCGCCTCGCATCTCGTCAATCAAAACAATGTCGTCTGCAAATAACATGCACCACGGCACCTCCTCTTGGATGTGGCGTGTCAGTACGTCTATCGCCGGGGCAAACAAAAAAAGACTAAGTGTCGACCCTTGGTGCAATCCCATTACGACCCGAAAATGGTCTGAGACCCCTCCCACTGTCTTCACCCTGGTCTTCGCTCCATCATACATGTCTTTAATAGCCCTAATGTAGGCCACAGGTACACCTCTAACCTCCAACCACCTCCACATAACCTTCCTCGGAACTTTATCGTAAAACATCATATGCAAGTCCCTCTTTCTCTCCCTATATTGTTCCATCTTAAGAAAACTAATCTTGGTCTAAAATCCACCATAGCTTATACAATGTTTGAGTAGGTTTTCCTTTTTCTTCTACATAATAAACGTATTATATGAAAATTATGAGGAAATCTGTGTATTATTTTATGCATGGTAGAATATGGAGTAAGAATACGTGTATTAATACATGGATTAAACTATCTAATGTCAATATTACTCTCATACAATTTTTAGCATGGCCTTGATCACACTTAAAAGAATCTTGAAAACTTCTTCGTTCAACGTTAACTGTTGACAAGTAAACTAAAAGTGAGCAAAGTGAATTTCTATAATCCTTCAACGCAAATTGGTTGTCTTTAACCATTATAACTTCATCAGCGATCTGAATTTCTCTCATTTGCTGATTACTTTTTCGTGAAGATTCTCTGTTTCTTACTGTTCCTTCAAATTATATAATGTGTACCAAGTCTTATACCAACCAAACATTCAAATGGAATTATTCACGGCATAAAAATCCCTGCATAACTGATCTCCGAACCAAATGACCCCTAAATGTTTAGGTAACTTTGGAATGATTGCATAATGTAGTCACTTGCTTGGACTTACCCAGTTATCATGCTATCCTCCAGTCCGGGTTCATCAAATATTTCCAGCTGGTAAGGTCGAACTAGATCCCAAAGATGGCAAGAATCATTGTTTAGGATATATGGAATCATCTAAAATGGTATGCAATGGCAAGAAGGATCATGAAACCTACAGATCTTACTACCTTCGCAGCCTTCCCAATTTACCAGTTTTACTTTACAAATCCCAGCAATATTTCAACCTTTAGATAACAAATACTACACCTCATCAATAAGCCATTTAGTCATTGCCTTTAGTTTTCTTTATCTATTTGTCTGAAAATTTCTACATTTTTACTCATTAAGAAAAGAAAGGAAAATTTCTACAAAACTTATCTCAGAGTTTTTTGTTCTGAGTTGCTGTATATTTTAAGCTACTCTTTCATAGTTGGGGTTTAATACAGATTCATAGTGGACTGAAGGAGTTATTCAAGTTAAAATAAATGGTCATTGTTTTTTTTAAACTAGGATCATGCTATCCGCAATCTGATAGTAATAACCCCTGAGATCCTAATTTGGGTCATGATTCTCAAAACATTGGTTGTTAGAGCCTCTAATATTTTTGAATGTACTCATAACTTATTTCATTCTTCCATTCCGTTTTGCTACCTCTTTTGGGGAAGAAAATTTTGTTTCGCTCTTTTTACCTGCTCATGTTTGCTTTTAGTCCAGTAATCTGAATGTGTAACTGAACTAGTGTGTTCTCCTCTGTCTTCCCTCTCACAATGAAGCTCTTGGGACAAAGCGATTAGCATCGGAAGAACTTGTTCATGACTGGGATAACAAGAGGCTGAATGCAGGGCATGTATGGATCCATCTTCTTGTATTGATGTCTCGAAAGTTTTTGTTGTGAATTTCCGGTTTACACTCACACACCATCTTATTTGAACCTTCAGACGTTTGGGTATCAGCAAGCCTATCCAGAAGCAGCAGAGAGAATGGTGGGTTCAGTTGGAAATCAACTAAATGGTATATCAACAACCTTCCCTAGTGGAAACTCAATGGTGCTTCCTTTGCAAGTCAACCTGCAGGTTCCTCATGTACCAGCAGCGCCCACACTTCTTGGCAAAGGGTAATGTATATTTTATTATAAACTCTTGCTTCCGGGTTATTGGACTGACTAGTGGAGGCAACAGGGATGCTGCCCATTTATCCTGTAAAATGACTATCACCTAGGATTATTTACTTTGGAAATAGTAGTGTAACATTCATAAGATAATATCCCTCTCTTTCAATGTTCAGGAAGTGACATCAGGACTTCGAGGATTAAGGAACTATAACATTGAAAACCTTTGTTGTACATTTTCGCCGGTGCATTAGTCACTAAGCACCTTTTGTATGGCTGACCTTAATATCACTCCTGTATATACAGTCGTGGCAATTACCCATTAAAAATAAAGGTGACTGGAAAAGATGAGGATATACAGTCTTGGCAGTTACCCGTTTAAAAAAAAACATCAAACTTTTGTTGACGCAATGTCATCAAACATGTATCTGAATCTGTATTGCCACACTTGAACTGCCACCAAAATCAACTACAAACTGATAACACAATATGAAGAGCTCTGGGACGAAATAAGCTGTGGTCTACATATAAGCTATGTTGCCGTGCGGATCTAGAGGTCATCCTTCATAATCTGAATTTTAAGATTTGGGAATACGGATTCAGGTATGTATACGGGTGCGGAGATTCGGCTAAAAATGATTCAAAATTCTAAAATTAGATCTATAAAAATATCCTAAATTATGAGAAAATTCTGTGAAAAATTTATAGGTTGTGGAGTGCAGCCAATAATTCAATCTTTCATTTTGGGAATTTCTCAAGTTGTAGGCACTAGACACTAGCAAGCAGCGGCTAAAATTCAATTTTTCGTTTTTCCTCAAATTTGTCCATGGATTGTGGTCAAAGTACCCGATCTCGATTGACCACACCCGATACGAATCCCACATCCTTACCAGTAGTAGTATTGTGTTGACACGGATGCGGCGGCTAAAATAAAGAGTCCCCACAACATAGCATCTAAGTGCAATGCTAGCAATCATTCTTCACAACATTTTTAAGTAGTGCTGTTGCATGTGTTTATCAGGGCAAAGCAATGGCGTGATGGGGACTGGATGTGCACAAATTGCAATAATCATAATTATGCATCTCGATCGAACTGTAATAGGTATGCTCCTGGTACTTTATTCAGATTCTTTTTGTAAAGCTGAAATCTCCGAGGACCACTGGCACACGGTTTGAAACTCGATGGATAATGGGCCCACCCCTCTACCCGTTTTCTCTTAAATAGCCGGCTTTTGTCTGCCGCAAGGTCGAATCTGTGATATGTGCCTATGCAGACATCATGTGTTGCGCTCTTATCATTGAGCCCTTGGGGCTACTTTATTCAGAATTTTGTGAACCACTAGTGAGCAAATGTTGGTAAACCCTCGGCAGAGCACCTTAAAATTAACTTTGAAGATGTTCACTCCAAAAGGTCTCTTCCACTTTCCTGCCAAATTTCTCTCTATTCCGGCACATAAAGGAAAGGATCCTAGTTGTAGTGTCTTTTTAATTAAGGGACCTAAGCATTTAAAGAAAAACAGCATTTGGCATTTCATATTGCCTTGTAGTCTCATTGTGATGATGGTCTTTTCAATCACATTTTCTTTTTTCTGAATAAATATAAGGTTTTTTAATCACATAAAAGTTAATGCTTGAAAAGGGTCACCGCTGTCGGAGTAGAGGGAGGGAAGCAGTTGAGGGTTGTTGACTTAACTATATCAGTTGAGCTATATAGGCAGAGAGGCAAATGGAGCTTAGAAAACTTGACCGGAAATATTGATTTTGTTCCCACTCTTGATCTCCAACCATCTGATTTTCAATATATTATATTTACGTCTTGACATCTATGTACTTTTGCCTGTGCAGGTGCAAGACTGAGAGAGACGTACCAGCTCAACCTGTTAGTGTTGCATAGCACTTCAGTTATAACCGGCTTGAACTTGTTGTAGCTTCACAAGATGCGTTTGTATCCTCCTCTAACTTATTATCATGTTGTGTGTAGTTTTGGTAGGCAATCAAATGAGGTAGATTAATCAATATGGTGTAAATTGATCGTTTCTCCGGTTTTGCTTCAGGAGAACGGAGTACATGAGAGAATACTATCTGTATGTTATCTATTTTCTCATTAACCGTTTCTTCCAAATACACTTATAAGATTTATATTGCAATCTATATTAACTTGAGACTTGTTTGGGGCAGCCTGGTTTCACAGCTTATTCTGGGCTGCTAGCATCATCTGATATATAACATTGAAGTTTCTGTTTTCCTGGTGAAAGCGAATGGCATTGTTTTGTGAAAGATTTTGAGCCCATGTGGCCATAAAAATTTTTCCCCTTTTTTTCTTTATTTTTTTTTTTGTTTTTCAAAATTAGTGTTTGGCCATAGAATTTTTAATTTTCACTTGAAGTTAAATTTTGGAATTTTTCGAAAATTTGAAAAACTTCGAAAAGTTATTTTTCAAAATTTTCACTTAGATCACTCAAAAAAATTCAAGAACAACCCAAAATTATATTCATGTCCAAATACAACTCTAACTTTTAAATACCGTTTTCACTTGATTTTTTTTTTCACTTTTTTCTGGAATTTTACAATTCTTATGTCCAAACACCCTCTTAGTAGTATGATCTGCTTAGCCTTCTTAGGTTTCAAGTAAATAGAGTATAAAAAGAATCTTATTAGAAACTCGGTTGGCTACCGGAGGGTTGGATTTTCCACCTTGTATTTCCTTCCCTTATTTTTCCTTCCGCTATGTAATAAAAAAAAAAATTAAAAAAAAAAGAATAAAAAATTCTGATACATTTTGTTTCTTCTATCCTAAGTCCCAACTAGGGAGAGTCGATATCCATAAGTTTCCTTTTCCAAATATTTTACATAACGATAAGGCGGAGTGAGTTATAAAGGGTAAAATTTACCCCAATCAGTGCTCGCATCAAATATGCTAACTCACCATGGTTCAGTGATAAATTAATGCGAGAATGTGTATTAATTGATTATACTTTTACTTTGTATACAGTACAAATGTGTCATAAAATCTTTGGGTTGGGTTGGTGCAAACACTTGGTGGTTAGTTTTAACCGATAAGGGTGTGTGATAGTTGTCTCATTGGCGCCAATCTTTCTCATTAAACTAGTACATAGTTTGTATTCTATTATCATGTTTCGTCTGAGGATTTATTTTTTATTATCTAAATAGCTGACGGATGCCTCATGGTCTGGTCCAGACCTAGAAATTGACATCGCAGAAATGCTCGGATTCAGCTCCACGGATAGTGGAAATATCAAAATAAGCCATATAAAAGGGGACGTTTCAATAAGTTTGTGCCATTATCAGAAGGACAAAAGGGGGCAAAGTGCAGCAATAGCCATTTTAAGTGCGCTATTTAAAACATATTCACAATTTACAATGTATTTAAAAATTAGCCAATTCACCCAAATTTCAGGACTAAGTGTCCTGAATTTCCAAATTAAGGACTTATTGTCCTGAATTTTTGAGCTTCTAATTTGAAATTCAGGACTAAGTGTCTTGAATTTCTGAACTACTAATTTAAAATTCAGAACATAAGATTGAAACTTCTGGACACAATATTCAAACTTTAGGACACGATGTCCTGAAGTTTGAATTTTGAGGTTAAAACTCTAGGACGTTGTGTCCTAAAGTTTGAGCGAAATTGGCTAATTTTTAAATATATTATAAACTATGGATATATTTTACACAGTATACTTAAAAGTGGCTACCTAGTGTCATTTCCACAATGGAGGGGGACAAAAAGGAATTTTTGCCATATAGAAACCAAGTGAAACTGTAAGAAATAAGCTATTCTGCATTAGTAATAGTAGATTTTTCAATAATGAACAACAATGCTGATAATCCCAATCAATATATATACACATCGTCCATGTGTACTATATTTTGCATATCTAAAATATTGAACTAATTACAGGCACTCTCTTTCTAGATTATAGAAATAAACCAATAAAGATTCTCTAACAAGAAGAAAACTTATTTAATTAACAGCCAAATGCAATGGTAAAATCTTTTTGAGACCTCTACCATTCTCCTTATTCAAAAGGGTCACAAAATTTCAAACTTAAAATAGGATTTCATGAATATTGGTTTACTTGATTTCCTTTCTTCTTGGAAAACAATCCACCAAAAAAAGGAATTAAAGTTTTCTTCTTCATTTTTTTCTTAAGTTGTGAAGGGCTAGTCTTAGTCTCCACATTAATGATCTTAGTAAGTAAAGGGGTACTAGCAAATTTAACAGACCTTTTTTTCTGAAATTCAATCTCATTATCATACTCTTGAAATTGTGTTCTTAATTCAACTTTGGATGATGATGAATTCTCAATGAATTTGAGCTCTTCAATCTCAGGATCCGCGCCTAAAGGTACTTTCTGCTTCAGTTCTCTTGTCTTTAACTGTTGTATTTCTCTTTTTGTCAGTTCTAACTCTTCTTTTAGAGATTGAAGACAATGTGCCATAAAAGTTCCTTCTTCTTTTGATTTTTGGAGGTTTTGCTTTGTCTTTTCAAGCTCAATTGTCACTGGTGAATCTGTTTTAGGCTGGTTCTGTCCAGCACTTGGCTTGGTCTGTACCTAATAGAGATGAAATAATTAATTAAGCGCACAGCTAAAACAGCTCAATTGTAATAGATATTCTAAAAATTATATGGCCTGAAGTATTCATATGCTAGATTAATAGAGTTGAGGGTCTAAACAATTGTTCCCTCCTATTTAACTAGCCTTTCTTTCAATTTCATTAGCAAATGTTACCTACGGTTGTGGTAGGATGCATAGGATCCCTCCACCCATAACCAGAGAGGTCTCGCGTTCGAGCCCTAGGTATGGAAAAAAAAATTATTAGGGAACACTTCCCCTTAAATGGGCCTTACACGGCGCAAATTCAACATAGTCGGGCTCCAATGCAGGTAACGGATACCGGGTGAGAAACCCCGGAAAAAAAAAAAGCGAATGTTAAGTTGTTTTCTTCTATGTAGATCAATGTTGCCTTTTGTAGTATTCTTTGTACAAGAACTATGCCTAAATCCTTACCAAGTTGGGGTTGGCTATATATATGAATCTTCATATGTCACTCGTTTAAGTTCCATCCATACAATATTAACTCTAAAATCATTTAGCACTTAGTCTAATAGGTAAGTTTTTTCATGCCGCGACTCTTCCTTGGTTCGTTCGAAAATCAGGATAGTCTTTTCATGATGGAAATTATGCGGAACGGAAATGTGCCTAGATACCTAGGAACAACGATAAAACTGCCTTCTGTTTATGACCTTGAATAAGTGAATTTAGGAGACAAAGACGTAGTCATACTTTATGATTGTTTATACATGTTACGGGAATTACTTAGTACATAAACATAATTTGAACCAAAGCTACTAGGTTTTATCGTACCCGTAACTTCTATTGTATCTCTGCCCCTGATAATACGTGCAAGTCATGCATGAAAGCGTTTGCTCAAAGCTCCATAACCAGAGAAAAAAAGAGAGGAAAGACAGGAAACTAAAAGGAGAAGAAAAGAACCTCTTTAAGCTGTTTGGCATAAATTTCTTCAGCCAAAAACTTTTCTCCGAATAACATGACTGCCTCCTTCACAGATCGAAAAGGCTGCCTCGTGTCGATCTCTACACGTCCCCGCACCATTAATTCTCCTTCTTTTTCCATCTTTCTTGTCGAAAATCAATACTTTTAGCAGTTTGGCTCTTATATATCTGTAGTTGAGATGTGTCGTTTCTTCGTGGTCATTACAATGTGCAAAATGTAGAAAGAAGACTTAGCTTCTTTTCTCTATTATAGAGTAAATATGATCAGTATCTAGCTAGAGGATGTTTCAATAATATCAAGTTGATGAGGAAATCTGGTCTTGTCGTTTAATGGTTTGATGTTTGGATTCAATTTATATATGAAAGGAAGCACTAAGAAGGGACCATGTTTGTTATGATTAAGTAATTGGTAGTATAATTATTTCGGGGAGTACCTAAAAAGAACGTTAAAAAAATCATTTGAGAAGATAAGAGGGGTTGGGGCAATTCATGACTTGGCGTTCACTTCACTAGAATTTATCATCACTTTGTTAATTGATGCTGATATTTTCTGCTTGGTAGTTGCTCCATCCCATTCCAAATGCCTACTAATTAAATATTGAAGTATTACTTAATATATATATATATATATATATATATATATATATATATATTATTGTAGCGAATTGGATGATCGAGTTGTAAAGTTTGCCAACTCATCTAGTAAGTGGCGTATACCAGGGGCGAACCTAGAGTATACAATACGGGTTCTCGGAAATCCAGTAACTTTTGCATAGACCCTGTATTTATATTAAAAAATGCACTTAAATATTTGTAAATATTTAACTGTGAACCCAGTTATTATTGCATATTAATCTAAAATTACGGCGGGAACCCATAAGCCTCAACTCCTGGATCGGCCTCTGGCGTATACAGAATTTTAAGTTATTGCCACAAAATAATTTTTATATACTGGTTTGTGTTTGATGTTCGGAAGATTATAAGAATTCACTTCGTCTTCCAAATTAATATTTAAAATTTTTAAGTAGCATCGAATTATTGTATCTAAATATTTTTATATAAAAATGCTAATTACATGTAAATATAGTGAAATCAGAACAGTTATTCAGAACAGTTTAAATTGAATTCTGTATTCTGATGCCTTGAAAACCTCATTTAGCATCACCTCGATTTGCGTGCGCAGTCCGGGCGCGTAGTCGGAAAGTCTAAATGTGAAAATCTATGAAAAATGATAAGTTTTGACTGTAAAATGAATTAATTTGACTTTGGTCAACGTTTTGTGTAAACGGATCCAGACCCGTGATTTGACGGTCCCGGAGAGTTCGTAGGAAATTATGGGACTTGGACGTATGCCTGGAATCGAATTCCGAAGTCCCAAGCCCGAGAAATGAATTTTTAAAGAAAATTATTTCCTGAAATTGTTTAAAGGATTTTGAAATGAATTTTGATTAGAACATGGTGGTATCGGGCCTGTATTTTGGTTCCGGCACTCGGTACAGGTCTTATATGTGGTTTAAGATAACTCTGTGAATTTTGGTAAGAAACGGAATCCGTTTGACGTGATTCGGACCGTAAATGCAAAGTTTGATGCTTTAAAAAGTTTTGAAATATTTCATTGATTGTGAGGCTTAATTCGTTGTTATTGAGGTTATTTTGGCGATTTGATCGCATGGATAAGTTCGTATGATGTTATTGAGTTAGTACGTATGTTTGGTTTTGAGCCCCGAGGGCTCGGGTGTGTTTCGGATGGGTTTTGGAAGGTTTTTGGAACTCAAAAGTTGCATGTTTTTCTAGTTCCTGTTGTGCTGATACTTTCTTCTTCGCGTTCGCAGGAGGACCCACGCGAACGCGATGTGTTATTTGTGCTGAAGGAAAATTCCTTCTACGCGAACGCTTAACCTAGGTCGTGAACGCGAAGCATTGGGGGGTCTTCCCTTCGCGAACGCGAGCCTGGTATCGCAAACGCGAAAGCTTATAGCTTGGGCAGGGGAGGGGTACTGTACCCTACGCGAATGCGACCACCTGGACGCAAACGCGAAGGCTCGAGAAGTTTCTTCTCCGCGAACGCGAACCCACTTATGCGAACGCGAAGGTCTCTCAGGCCTGACTCATCGCGAACGCGATGAACCTGTCGCGAACGCGAAGACCATTTTCGCCCAGTTATTTTAAGTTTCAAAAACAGAACATATTACGAGATTTCCACAATTTTTCATAAACTTCATCTTCTCCACACCTCTTGGGCGATTTTTGAAGCACTTATTCACCATAACCTCTTGGGTAAGTAATCTTTGACTTGTTTTCTTCCATTTTTATCAACACCCACTAGATTTCTTGGCCTAATGTGATTAAGGGTAGAAAATTAGGGATTTGGGTAGAGTTGGGGCTTTTTGATTATTTGGAAATTTGACCTTGTTTTGGGATCGGATTTGAAAATAAATTATATATTCGGGCTCGTGGGTGAATGGGTGATCGAGTTTTGGTCCGAACCTCGTGTTTTGACCAAGCGGGCATGGGGTCAATTTTTAACTTTTTAGGAAGAATGATTAGAAAGCTATAATTAAGCATTGAAATTGGATTGTTTAGCGTTTATTGATGTTATGAAGTCGATTATGTATAGATACAATTGATTTGGAGCCGAATTCAAAAGGAAAGGCTGTGTTTGAGGCTTGAGTTGGTCGTGGAAGTTCGAGGTAAGTGTTCAGTCTAACCTTAGCTTGAGGGATTAGGAGTTGTGTCCTATTTGCTATTTGCTTCTTGTCGAGTACGACGTATAGGCATGGTGACGTGTATCTATACATTGGTATCGAGCATGACCGTGAGTCTTAAATTGGAGTTTGTTGTGTTCTTAAATGATATTATGGATGATTTAATTGATAACTCTCGATATTGAGCAAGGATTTAGTTTGATTTCGTGGGAATTTACTTATGATTGAGTATTGGTGTTAGCTGAGATGATTAGAAGTTGGGTTGAGATTGGTTATAGTTGTTTCTCCCTTGCCGGGACGTATTTATTTTTACCGTTGAATCCCTTGCCGGGATAGTGTAGTTTGTTGTTGATCCCTTGCCGGGACTCTTGGTGTGGTTGTTGCTAAAACAATATTAAATATATGGATCGGGTTACACGCCGCAACAATATTAAATATATCGATCGGGTTGCACGCCGCAATAATACTAAATATATCGATCGGATTGCACGCCGCAATAATATTATATTGGATCGGGTTGCACGCCGCAATAATGTTATATTAGATCGGGTTGCACTCTGCAACAGTGTTACATGATAGGGATCGGGTTGCGCGTCGCAACAATGTTATTATTGTTTGTTTTAGATTTTGAGTTGTTCTCTCATATTTCTCTTTAGTTTTTGCTGGACTTGATATTTTCCCCGTAGTATGTACCCCCTCCCATTTAAATTGTTTATTTTTCGTTGTATATATATATATATATATAACTGCACAGGTTTATCTGGAGTCTTGTCCTAGCCTCGTCACTACCTCGCCGGAGTTAGGCCAGGCACTTACCAGGACATGGGGTCGGTTGTGCTGATGCTACACTCTGCACTCTATGCAGATATCGGAGCAGCGTTGATAGTAGCACTTGGGGAGCCAGCCTTCAGTCCATCCAGAGATCCCGAGGTAGTCCTGCAGGCGTCCGCAAGCCCGGCGTTCTTTTATATCCATTTATATGTTCTGTTTTCACTTGTTTTTCGTGACAGACTGTATTTCCTTTTTCAGACATTTGTACGTAATACTCATAGACAGTCCGTGAATATTGTGACACCAGATTTCGGGTAGAGGAGTATATTGGCACTGTAGTACTGATTTTGATCACTTTTATCCGTTTAAGTCTTCCGCTTATTCTTTTATCGTTAATCTTTAAATTGTTGATTACCTATTGATTCAAGTTATTAAAAGGATTAAAATGAAAGAGTTAGAATTTCTATATTTCGTGGCTTGCCTAGTTCTACGAGTAGGTGACATCACGATCCCCGAGGGTGGAAAATCCGGATCATGACACCAAACTAGCTAGGTCGACTATATGAATCTTTACCATTATGTTGTTAATAAGTAAACTATTCAAATGTAAGTTTTTCAGAAAAGAACGAAATAAATGTTTTCCAAAGACTCGTGATTTTCAGAAAATAATGTAAGCACAAATAAAGAAAATAGTTTTCTAAACACTAAATAAATATCAAATTGAATCTTTTAACAATTTTACTACTGTTAACCCGTATATATTGATTTCAGCAGTATCTTGTAAAGTGAGTGACTGGAGTATGTTGCCTTTCCAAAGTAGTAAGCTTTTGGGCTTCAAAATTACCGAAACATTTACATTAAGAAGAATTAACATAAATAATCGTTCACCCAATTATTTAAATTAAAAATAATTGGTAAATATATAATAGATGTAATTCATATAGTATAATATATGTATAACTATTTATACTAATATATAATCTATGTATACAGACTAAACAAAAGTAGACCGTCAATCCGATAGGCTATTTGTGTAAAGATCTCAAGCATTAATTAACTGTAGAGCCATGTGGTAAATTTCTTTTTTGTAATGGGTGTTCCCTGTCCAATCCAACAGACAAGGTATTAGGAACTACAATTCAGACCAAAAAATTATGGCCCAATACCTTTTTCTGAGAAATTTTCAGAAATCACTATTGTTTAGTGACTATTAATTCTTATAGCTATTATATACACAATTACTTTCTATAGCTACTACTCAATTGCTACGGTAGTGTATTCGCTGTATTCGCGCTGCTATATTCATGAATACAGCAGCAAAAAGCGCCTAAAATCAGGGCAATCCAGCTGTACGCGCATGTATTCACGCCATGTATTCATAAATACAACACTAAAAAGCGCCTAAAACCAGGGCAGTCCAATTGTACGCGCATGTATTCACGTCATGTATTCATGAATACAACAGCAAAAAGCGCCTAAAATTACGGCAGTCCGACTGTACGCGCATGTATTCACATGTATTCGCACTACTGTATTCATGAATACAACAATAAAAAGCGCCTAAAACCAGGATAGTCCAACTGTATGCACATGTATTCACTCCATGTATTCATGAATACAATAACGGCAATCACCTTAAAAATAGGTATGTCCACCTGTCCAAGAGAGAGGAAAAACATAAATAGCGTATTTCATGCCTTATTTCATGCCTCAATGGTAGTATATACCATAAACATTTATTTTGCTATAAAATATAAAAGGTAGCTATAGAAAATAATATTTAAAATAATTTTGATTTATAATAAATTGTCTCGACCCATTTCCATTATAGGTCATGATGGCTCCCAACACCAATGTCAGTCAAGCCAACGCGGAAATAAAG